ACATGTGAGCGACGTCTGTCCGCAGGGTTCTAGACGTCTGCCATGTGCTCGCCTCCAACGTCATCCCAGAAGTCACAGAGGTTTCTCATGACGCCTTACCCTTGTATTTGTGAAAATAATAAAATAACTTGTGAAACTACATCACTGAACTACAGAACGTGGCTAATCGAACTAGTCAAGCATTTGTTATGGTCCTAAATGAGGTGATGTCTCCGCTTGGTCAGACTGACACCGAGCTCCGCCCCACTGCTGGTGACGCCAAAGCCCCTGTCAACCTGCTGCCCTCCTCACTGCCCCCTGCTGCCAACCTGGACCCCTGGAGTGCCAACGTCAAACCAAAGTGGAGCCAGATTCCAGGCATCATAATCTCCCCGAATCTCATCTCCAGCATTCTCACCTCCTGAACTGAATCCACCCGGAATTCAACGCCGTGTCGTTGAACACATTACCCTAACCCACTCCTCAGCACAGCACCAACCCCCGAATGAATCTGACTACGATAAGTAACATTCAGGCATAGAACTGTTATTGCAGGATCCTGCGGTGTCCGACCTCCTGCGCTCACGAGAAATATTTGAAAGTCTGGTGCCTCCCACCGCCGATACTGTTAAACACTTAAGACCAGAAACTCCACCCACCATCTGCCTACAGACACTCGACTCAGCTTTCGGAACTGTACAGGATTATATGCCAAATTTTTAGACATGTTTTAAGATGCTGGTGAGAAGCCTTCAAACTATTTCCAACATCTGCAGGTTGCTCTGAACTTGGCGGTCGAGCGAGGCGGGGGATTGAGTAAAGATATTGAAAGACATTTGTTAACCCAATTCTGCTGTGGTTTGTGGGACAGTTCCCTCATTGCAGACTTTCAACTCAAACAACGAAAACACAGCCCCCCAACATTTGCAGAACTGCTCCTTTTGCTCAGGACTGAGGAAGACCAAGAAGCTGTTAAAAGGCTCAGCATAAAACAACATTCAGCACTCATGCTCAGTATGTAGTGTCACCCATACTGACAAAGAAGGGGAAATATTTGCTCTCGCCAGCGTCACTCAACATCTCACCCAGCAGCTCATTTCCCTCATAACAGCCCAGTCCAGCAACAAGCAGAATGTGCTGAAGTCCACACTAGGCCGTCAGCAGGGTGAGGGTCAGAGGACGGGCAAGTTTCCAAAGAACATGTCCTTTGCGCCTAAGCCTGGCTATTGCTACCGGGGGGATGAAGACGGTCACATAAAGCCCCAGTGTGAAAACCTGCTAAACTCTCACTCTGGTTGAAGCAAAGAAAAAGCAATTTGCAGAAAAACAAGCAAGATGGCAGAAATCCAACTCCACTACAAGAGAGTCCGGCTGTGGGGTGAACAAGAACTGTTGTGGACTCACCATGTCCCAACAAGAACAACAAACAAACTGCAAAATGTAAAGAACTGACTCAAATCACTCAAACTGTATTGTCCCGGTTGCCCAAAGGCTTTGTTGGTTCCCGTTTCATGGCCATTATCAAGGTTGCAGGCCAAGAATGAAATTGTCTCTTAGATACAGGGTCACAAGTCACAACCATCCCTGTTTCATTTTACAACCAGCACTTCTCAGACCGACCAGTCAAAACCCTGTGTGGCCTATTACAATTGGAGGGAGCCGCGGGACGGACACGCTGTACCTCATCTCTGATGTGTGGAGATGATCTTACCTTCCCAAGTGAATTACTGGGACAGACTTTGACGTAGCTACTCTAGCACTCGTAGTCCCTGATGTCCACATCGTTCCCCAGTGCTGACTGGTATGAACCACTCCACAGACGGTACAGGGGGAGCTGCTCATGGCCAAGAGGCCGTCCTCAAACTCCTGCAGATACTCTGAAAACAACCAACAAAGGCCCTGTACTGATTCCAGCCGGTCACACCACTTATGTTGAGGGTCCTGCCCATGCCGACATGCCACCTCCAGGCCGGTGGACACTTCTGGAGCAGTCACCTCAGCGCCAGGTGGACTGTGTGTCCAGAACAATCTGACTCTCCTCCCAAGCCAATCCAGTCATCCAGTTTCCAATCATCCTTACCTACGAGTCCCCTGTTCCTCCAGAATGGAAGGAAAGAATCATCCTAAAGCCAAATGAGATTCCAGACATGTTCTCACACCACGATTTAGATTTCAGCCACACAAACAAAACATCATATCAAACTGAGCGATGAAACTCCATTCAAGCACAGCCCCAGACCCATCCACCCTCAGGACACTGAGACTAAGGCAACATCTAAGGGATCTCCTAGAGCACAGGTGTCAAACATAAGGCCCGGGGGCCAGATCCGGCCCTCCAAGACCTTTAATGTGGCCCTTGGGTGATTTTCTAAAATATTTGAATGATATTTTCTATTAAAATCTTGTTAATTTTCTGTGGTGTTTATCACAGCAGCGTCTCCAGCGTCTCTGTACGTGGCCCCTCCCACCAGAGCAGCACAAATGAAGACTTGTCTCTTTCCAAACGTCTTAAAGGACGATCGTTTTGACTGTTGACCGTGACCCCCTCATCAGAAAAATGTCCAATATGAGAAAAGTGGAGCCGAGTGCAGAATTTTACAACAAAAATGGACTTATTCTGTTTACAGACAAGTTCATGTTTAAACTTTGTGTTGAAATTGTATTTTTCTTCAAGTTTCAGGTTGTTCATAACACTATAATATTTTGTAAAAGAACGAGTTCATCAATTAAAAAAGATTTCTGTAATAGATTTTCATTTCTCTGCACAAATATTTGAACTTATTGTTATTTTGGGGTTTATATGACATGAGTTTTCTGATCCGGCCCCTTTGGGATCAAAGTTGGTTGGATACGGCCCCCGGACCAAAATGAGTTTGACAGCCCTGTCCTAGACGCTGGTGTATTCCATAAATCCAAGTCGCAGTTTGCCTCACTGATTGATACTGATACAGCTGTGAATTGATTACAGATTACAATCACATTTTTGATTAAATTTAAGCAAGTCATTTTCCAGCTTAACTGGATCAAAAATGGTTCAACAAACAACAAACGCCCCCAGTTCATTCCAGCGATTAATGGAGAAATGTCTGGGAAACCAAAATTTGAAGGAAGTTTTGATCTTTCTTAATGACCTAATTTGTATTTTCAGGTTTGCTAGAAGAGCATGAACAATGGCTGCTGCGAGTGCTCCGTCATCTCAAAGACTACAGTCTGAAACTCTCTTCCGGAAAGTGCAAGTTTTTCCAGACCTCTGTACGATATCTGGGCCATGCCGTTTTGGAGAAGGATGTCGAGACAGATCCGGAAAAGACGAATGCCCTAAAATCCTGTCCAATCCCAACTACACTGAGAGTGTGTAGGTGACACACTAATCAAAATGTTCACCAGTTCCCCAGTCCTTGGTTTCACCACGGACGCCAGCACCACCAGGCTCAGAGCGGCACTATATCAAGAACAACAGGATCAGCTCAGAGTCATCGCTTACGCCGCCGCGGCCTGTCACCAAGTGAAGATTCCCTGCACACAAAAGCTCAAGTTCCCTGCTCTGAAGTGGAGTGTGATGGAGAGACTACACGACCTGCAGTCCTGGACCTGTATGGGGCCAACTTTATAGTGGTGACAGACAAGAGTCCACTCACCTGTTGACATCGAAGTTGGATCCTGCCGGCCACATGTGTCTCACTGCCCAGGCCACAAACACCCTCAAACTGCAACAGAGCTGGCAAACAAAATCTGAAAGACTGAGACCTGATCAACAAAGAGCATGTCACTGAACAAGATGGAGTAAAAGACGTGGACCCTGAAGCTACTTCTGCCATTTACCTTCACTGCCTCATCGGCAGTGGAGCAGTTCAGCTCAGAGTCCTGTCACCCTGAGCGTTTCTGCTGAGACCATCCCTGATCTGCAGTTCGACTTGGAAGTCAGTTGTTGTTCAACATTATCAATCAAAGTCACCCCTCTAAGTTCTTTCAGTAGTGTTTGATGCTGTGTTCTTCTTTGTCTGCCGCACAGTTGTGTGTGTGATGATCGATTTTTGGTCAACCGTGATAATCGGTAAATAAGTCAAAAATGATCAGAATGGTCTTAAAAAAAGGAAAGCCACCAAATATGTGTTTTGTATTTGATTTAAATCTCAAAATAAACCAAAAAGCAACAAAGTCTGTCTGAGACACTTGTACCCACGTCTCTCTCATGTCCCCCACACTTCAGATTATAAGTGCTGTTTCAGATGAGCAGAAACCCACGACTGACCCGCTGTGCCCGTCCCCTCTGACCCCTGTGCCCGTCCCCTCTGACCCCTGTGCCCGTCCCCTCTGACCCCTGTGCCCGTCCCCTCTGACCCCGTCCCTCTGACCCCTGTGCCCGTCCCCTCTGACCCCCTGTGCCCGTCTCCTCTGACCCCTGTGCCCGTCTCCTCTGACCCCTGTGCCCGTCTCCTCTGACCCCTGTGCCCGTCTCCTCTGACCCCCTGTGCCCGTCTCCTCTGTGTCTGTCACGGATTCACTGATGCAGCAAATACAGATATGAATATTCAAAAATAATCTGTCTCAAAACTCCACAGATTTGACTAAGAAATCATGATTTACATCAGACAGGGAAAGGTCAGAGCAGAGCAGGACTAGACCAGGACTAAAATAGACCAGGACTAGACCAGGACTAAAATAAACAAGGACCAGGACTAAACCAGAACTAAACCAGGACCAAAATAATATATATAAATTATTTACTTGAATTGCCACATATTCCTGAATATTCTCATGAATTCTCACAAATTCCCAATAATTTCCACAGAAATTTACTTTAAAAAGTCTTAAAATGGTGCGACCAAAGAAACAAACTGAAGTGGAATGAATCTGTTTTATTTTCTTACAAGAAGCCACGTCCAAAATAATGATGATTATGTGAGAAATCTCCAATGGACTTTACACAGAACACACGTTCTAAACAGAACTAACAAGACCACAGCTGTAAAATATGTTCTAAAGCAAAGGGTTCTAAGGTTCTCCACAGCAGAGGGTTCTAAGGTTCTCCACAGCAGAGGGTTCTAAGGTTCTCCATAACAGAGCACATTGAGGGTCTGGCTGCAGTCGCTGGGTTCTATGAGCGGGTCTGATCCTGGGGTTTCATTGAGGACCAGAGCTCCACAGTGAAGTCCAGACTCAGGACACACAGGAAGAGAAGACAGAGAGACAGCGCCCCCATCTGACCAGAACCAAGAACCACCCAGGAACCGCAGACCCACCCACACCTGAGGACACAGGACATGTGTTAGACCTTCTGTCCCTCACTGAGGACACAGGACATGTGTTAGACCTTCTGTCCCTCACTGAGGACACACAGGTTTAGTGCCCCCTGTACCTTGCTGGTGGTGGAGAAGCGCAGGACGTTCTTGATGTTGTCCATCTCGCTCTGTTGGAGCCTGAGGAGGCTGAAGGAGCCTGTGGAGGGCGTGAGGATCCTGCAGGTCTCCAGAGCCTGCTCCCAGGTCAGAAGCTCCTGCACCAGGACCACATTGTGTCTGTAGCACAGAGAAGGGAAGGCCTCGGAGCAGCTGTGCACTGACATGGACTTAGACTGAGACGACACAGACACACAATCTGACCCCACACCTGGGCCCTGGACAGAGCTCGCAGCCACGCCAAGATCTGGAACAGAACACACACTGGATTCAACTGACCCCCTCTCCCCCGACTCCTCCCCCTCTCCTCTGACTCCTCCCCCTCTCACCCTGACTCCTCCCTCTCACCTGGCCCCTCCCCCTCTCACCTGACTCCTCCCCCTCTCACCTGACTCCTCCCCCTCTCCCCTGACTCCTCCTTCTCACCTGGAGCCCAGTTTCTGAAGTCAGACGGGTTGTTGTCGCTCCAGCCCCAGGATCCGCCTGAAACACACAGAGGAACATGAGGTTTTGTCAGATTCCTGGATCCAGCAGCTAGAGGACGGATCGTCACACTCTGCTCTCCAGACGCAGCACTTCACTTTCACACAGAGTCTCCGGGTCTGGGTTTGCACCTGTCAAACAGCTCCTGGTTTGGCCTCAGTCTCTCTGAAGTCTCCAGCTCAGGTGGAGCTCACAAGAGAAACGGTCCCAGTGACGTCAGTGTCTGTCGTCTGTACATCTCTGGACATCGATCTAAATCTGCTGCCGCCGCGTTTCAAACAGGAAGAACAGAGGCTCAAGGACCGTTTATGTTTTAACAGATGCACTTTTGACATCAGACCTGAGCTACTTGACACTAAGGCAAACGCTACACTGCCCCCAAAAGGCAGAACACCGTAACATCAGGTTTGGTTTGGTTCATTTTGTTTTGTTTGTATGTGAGACTTTTACCATGTGAATAAATGTCCTGCAAAATATTGAGCTCAAAATGTCCCTTTGACTTTATTTGCCAGTTCCTGTATCTGCCTTTGTAACACGAGCCAAAAATAAGAAGTCCAACTAGACCCAACCAGACCCAACCAGACCCAACCAGACTCAACTAGACTCAACCAGACCCAACCAGACTCAACTAGACCCAACAAGACCCACCCAGACTCAACCAGACCCAACAAGACCCAACCAGACCCAACTAGACCTAACCAGACCCAACAAGACCCACCCAGACTCAACCAGACGCAACCAGACCCAACCAGACTCAACTAGACTCAACAAGACCCACCCAGACTCAACCAGACGCAACCAGACCCAACCAAACTCAACTAGACCCCACCAGACCCAACCAGACTCAACTAGACCCACCAGACCCAACCAGACTCAACCAGACCCAACCAGACTCAACTAGACCCACCCAGACCCAACCAGACCCAACCAGACTCAACCAGACCCAACCAGACTCAACTAGACCCACCCAGACCCAACCAGACCCAACCAGACTCAACCAGACTCAATCAGACCCACCCAGACCCAACCAGACCCAACCAGATCCAACTAGACTCAACTAGACCCACCCAGACCCAACCAGATCCAACCAGACCCAACTAGACTCAACTAGGCCCAACCAGACCCAACCAGACTCAACTAGACCCACCCAGACCCAACCAGACCCAACCAGACTCAACTAGACCCAACCAGACCCAACCAGACTCAACCAGACCCAACCAGACTCAACCAGACCCAACCAGACTCAACCAGACCAGACCAGATTCAACCAGACCCAACCAGACCCAACTAGACTCAACCAGACCAACCAGACCAACCAGACCAACCAGACCAACCAGACTCAACCAGACCAGACCAGATTCAACAACCAACCCAACCAGACCCAACCAGACTCAACCAGACCCAACCAGACCCAACCAGACTCAACCAGAGACCAACCAGACTCAACCAGACCCAACCAGACCCAACCAGACCCCCCCAACCAGACTCAACCAGACCCAACCAGACCCAACCAGACCCAACCAGACCAACCAGACCAACCAGACCCAACCAACCCAACCAGACCCAGACCAACCAGACTCAACCAGACCCAACCAGACCCAACCAGACCCAGACCCAACCAGACCCAACCCAGACTCAACTAGACCCACCCAGACCCAACCAGATTCAACCAGACCCACCCAGACCCAACCAGACTCAACTAGACCCACCCAGACCCAACCAGACTCAACCAGACTCAACCAGACTCAACTAGACTCAACCAGACCCAACCAGACTCAACTAGACCCAACAAGACCCACCCAGACTCAACCAGACGCAACCAGACCCAACCAGACTCAACTAGACCCAACCAGACCCAACCAGACTCAACCAGACCCAGACCAACCAGACTCAACCAGACCCAACCAGACCCAACCAGACCCAACCAGACCCAACCAGACTCAACCAGACCCAACCAGACTCAACCAGACCCAACCAGACTCAACCAGACCAGACCAGATTCAACCAGACCCAACCAGACCCAACTAGACTCAACCAGACCCAACCAGACTCAACCAGACCCAACCAGACCCAACCAGACTCAACCAGACCAGACCAGATTCAACCCAACCCAACCAGACCCAACCAGACCCAACCAGACTCAACCAGACCAACCAACCAGACCCAACCAGACCCAACCAGACTCAACCAGACCCAACCAGACCCAACCAGACCCAACCAGACCCAACCAGACCCAACCAGACCCAACCAGACTCAACCAGACTCAACCAGACCCAACCAGACCCAACCAGACTCAACCAGACTCAACCAGACCCAACCAGATTCAACCCAACCCAACCAGACTCAACTAGACCCAACAAGACCCACCCAGACCCACCCAGACTCAACCAGACGCAACCAGACCCAACCAGACTCAACTAGACCCAACCAGACCCAACCAGACTCAACCAGACCCAACCAGACTCAACCAGACCCAACCAGACCCAACCAGACTCAACCAGACCCAACCAGACTCAACCAGACCCAACCAGACTCAACCAGACCAGACCAGATTCAACCAGACCCAACCAGACCCAACTAGACTCAACCAGACCCAACCAGACTCAACCAGACCCAACCAGACCCAACCAGACTCAACCAGACCAGACCAGATTCAACCCAACCCAACCAGACCCAACCAGACCCAACCAGACCCAACCAGACCCAACCAGACCCAACCAGACTCAACCAGACCCAACCAGACTCAACCAGACCCAACCAGACCCAACCAGACTCAACCAGACCCAACCAGACCCAACCAGACCCACCCAGACCCAACCAGACCCACCCAGACCCAACCAGACTCAACCAGATGCAACCAGACCCAACCAGACCCAACCAGACTCAACCAGACCCAACCAGATTCAACCCAACCCAACCAGACTCAACTAGACCCAACAAGACCCACCCAGACCCACCCAGACTCAACCAGACGCAACCAGACCCAACCAGACTCAACTAGACCCAACCAGACCCACCCAGACCCAACCAGACCCAACCAGATCCAACTAGACCCAACTAGACCCACCCAGACCCAACCAGATCCAACCAGACCCAACTAGACTCAACTAGACCCAACCAGACGCAACCAGACTCAACTAGACCCAACCAGACCCAACCAGACTCAACCAGACCCAACCAGACTCAACTAGACCCACCCAGACCCAACTAGACTCAACCAGACCCACCCAGACCCACCCAGACCCAACCAGACTCAACCAGACCCACCCAGACCCAACCAGACCCAACCAGATCCAACCAGACCCAACTAGACTCTCCTAGACCCACCCAGACCCAACCAGACCCAACCAGACCCAACTAGACTCAATCAGACCCACCCAGACCCAACCAGACCCAACCAGACCCAACCAGACCCACCCAGACCCAACCAGACCCAACCAGACTCAACCAGACCCAACCAGACCCAACCAGACCAACCAGACCCAACCAGACCCAACCAGACCCAACCAGACCCACCCAGACCCAACCAGATCCAACCAGACCCAACTAGACTCAACTAGACCCACCCAGACCCAACCAGACCCAACCAGACCCAACTAGACTCAACCAGACCCAACCAGACTCAACCAGACCCAACCAGATCCACTGATCCAATCAGAACCGCCCAGCCCCCCCTTCGGAGCTGAAACAGTCTCTCACCGTTTCTGCGGAGGCCGATCCAAACGGGAAACTCTCGGGCCACGTAGAACGGAGAACCGGGCCAACGTGGACTGTTGCGGTTCTTGAACTCTGCGAGGGACAGACCCAGACTCACACAGTGTCCCAGAGCGTCCGACCACGACTTGGACTCCGGGAAGAACACGTCCAACGAGAAGAGTCCAGAGAAGAGCCCGGAACAGAAGAAGAAATGTTTCTCTGAGCACGAAGCACCGAGGGTTTTGACGAGAGAAAACGATCAGAGGAGAAAACGATCAGAGGAGAGAAAACGATCAGAGGAGAAAACGATCAGAGGAGAGAAAACGATCAGAGGAGAAAACGATCAGAGGAGAAAACGATCAGAGAGAAAACGATCAGAGGAGAGAAAACGATCAGAGGAGAAAACGATCAGAGGAGAAAACGATCAGAGAGAGAAAACGATC